AGAAGAAGAAGAAGAAGAAGAAGAAGAAGAAGAAGAAGAAGAAGAAGAAGAAGAAGAAGAAGAAGAAGAAGAAGAAGAAGAAGAAATCTGTTGTTTGGATTTGGATCTAAGAGTGTGATTCCTGTAGAGGTCTTTTTGTGATTCTCTCTCTCTCTCTCTCTCTCTCTCTCTCTCTCTCTCTCTCTCTCACACACTTGTGTGTATGGAAATGCAGTGCATATGTTGCATGTTGCATATGTGGGAATCAGAGGTCAGCTTACAGGAATTAGTTCTCTCTTTTCACCCTGTCAGATCCAGAGATTGAATGCAGGTTATTAGACTTCGTAGCAATCACCTTTACCCACTGAGCCGTTTTTATGCCCCCCCCCCCACTTTTAGTGATTTTTAAAGAAACAATGGATTGGTCAGCTCTTTAATGACCTACTGAATGGAAACCATGGATTGGTCAGCTGTCTCATGATCTACTGAGTGGAAACTGGAAGAGAATGGTAAAAGAGATGCCTGACACCTTTCCTGTTCTCAGGATGCATGCACCTGTACAATACATGTATATAGGCATGTGCACATAATGTGTGCACACTCATACACAAGTGTGAACAGACAAACATCAAACTTTTAAGAGATAAAATTATAGCATCTGTGCACCTAAACTTGAAAACAAACCTTACTTTCTTTCCTGTGTGTGCACGTATGTGAATGTACATGCCATGTGCACGTGTGTTAGTCAGAGGACAACTTTGGAGGGTGGGGTCTCTCTTTTCGCTATGTAGATTCTGAGGCTAGAATTGGGTTGGCTGGATTAGTGGCAAGTGCTCGTAGCTGCGGGATCATCTCCCCTCTCCCATTCTCCCTCTGTCCACACGGCCCCTTCCCCCCAGATCTGGATCTCATGTGGTCCAGGTTGGCCTCAAATTTAATACGTAGTTGGAGATGATCTTGAGATTTGGATCCTCCTGCCTCTACTCCTCTTCCATACCTTCTCTTGCCCCAGGCCTGGGATTACATCCCTAGGTCTGGTTTGCACCCTGCCTGGTTGTGCGGTACTGGGAATGGAACCCAGGGTTTTCTTGGTGCATGCTGGGCGAGTGCTCTACCACCTGAGCCATGTCCCCACCACCCTGGCTCTTTCATTCTGCCAACCCAGCCACATCAGCAGCCCCACTTACCAAAATTTCTAGCCTGTGAAGTAATTGTCCAAATGAACACTTTCACAAATCTTATGAGTCAGTGTGTTAAAAATACACACTGAGGAGGCCGCACAATGGCTCAGCGGTTGAGAGCGCTCCCTGCTCTTTCAGAGAATCTGAGTTCAGTTCTTAGCATCTGTGTCAGGTGGCTCACGACCATCTGTCACTCCAACTCTGGGGAGCTTGACACCCTCTTTTGGGTGTCACATTTATTTGCCCTATTCAGAAACACATACATGCACATAATTAAAAATACGTATTTTAAAAACAGATCTGCCATTTTCCAATTAGTTTGAGGTAACTGAGAGGCATAAAGATGAAAACTTACAAAACCCTCCCCCACCCAAAATAACAACAACAACAACAACAACAACAACAAATGTTTTAAAGCCAGGCAGTGGTGGTGCACACCTTTAATCCTGGCACTTGAGAAGTAGAGGCAGGCAGATCTATATGAATTTGAGGCTAGTCTCGTCTACAGAATGAGTCCCAGGACAGCCAGGGCTGTTATACAGAGAAACACTTTCTCAAAAAAAAAAAAGATAAAAATTTACTAAGAAAATTTTATAAATGGTGTTATAGGAGGAAGTTTCTGTATCCTGCCAGCAGTTCCCAAATAAACACACTGAGGTTTATAATAAATTACATTTTTTTCAGCTAATAGCTTAGGCTTGTTACTGGCTAACTCTTACATTTAAATTAACCCGTATTTCTTATCGACCCTCTCCACGTGGCTCAGGGCTCGTTACCTCGTTTTCTACACACCCTGTTTTCTTTGCGTCTGCTGGTGACTCCTCAGACTCTGCCCTTCTCCTTCCCAGCATCCTCCTAGTCGGGCTCTCCTGCCCAACCCCCTCCTGCCCGGCGACGGGCCAGTGAGCTCTTTATTAGCCGATGAGAGTAATACATATTCGTAGTGTATAAAAAGATTGTTCTGCAGCACGGCGTCTTCATGTTTGACATGTGGAATCGGAAAGTAAGACCAGGTCTCCAGTGATGCCTTCCTTCCATTCTGCATTGCTATGTGAGATACAAAAATCAAATGTCGAAGTGAAATAAGATGAGGACCGCTTTACTTACCTCCCCATCACTGAACGATTTATTAAGGGTTTCACTGGTCAAACATACGACTCACTGGTCTCATTACATGGTACAACAGCATATTGTTTAATTCAGGTACATAGCTATTTGTTTGTAAACACTTATACTTTTGTTTCAGTGGTGTTCGTGTGTGCTTGTGTGTGGGTTTGTGCACATAAGTGCCGGTGCCTGTAGAGGCCAGAGGAGGCCAGTGGACCCTCTAGAGCTAGAGTTACAGGTGGCTGTGAGCTGCCTTTACGTAGGTGCTGGGAACTGAACTTCAGCCTTCTGTAAGAGCAGTCAGTACATGCTTCTAACCACGGAGCCATCTGTCCACCTGCCTTCAGAATAAGCTTAAAGGCGACTGATGGAAGGGGAGGAGGATATGAGGAGGATTATGCTCAGTGTACAACGTACACGTGTGTGAAAATGTCCTCGTGTAACACAATGGAATGTATTTTGAACATATACAAGCAAAATGGAAAGAAAGCCAAAAATGAAATAAAATAGCTTCCTAATGGCAAAATGGTTTTGCGATGATACAAAGAGATCTTTCTTGCTTCGTGTTGTTGATTTCCATATTGTTGTATGCTTTCTTTTCTCTTTCCCTCTATGACCCGTGTGTAGTTAAATAAAGATCCATGTTCTTAGTGAGAAATGCCTTTCAGTGACCTGGATAAAGCGCTTGGTGAAGAGCGAAGGTGTGCAAAGGCAAATAGCGATGAGGGAGGTGTGGGAGCCACCTGGGAAGCGGGCAGGATGGATCCCCGCGGTTGGTGAGAAGGTTGCTCAGAGGACTGCATATCACAGTTGTGTTCTCCCAGAGCGGGCGCAGAGAGGAGGTGAGGAAGTCATTTCTGGCAACGCCAGCACCCAGTCTCTTAGAGGTGCAATTTCCTTCTTGTAAGATAAGTAAAAGGAATGAATTGTGAGGGATTAAAAATAACATAAAGGGGCTGAGTCCGGGAGATGGCTGGATTAGTTGGCAAAGCGTTTGCTGTGTGGATATGAGAACCTGATTTCTGTCCCCAGTCCCTGCTCTAGAAAAAGGGTGGGGTGTGTTTGTCAACCTTTATCTGGGAAGGCAGAGACAGGTGGATATCTGGGGCTTTCTGTCTAGCCATCTCAGCTTATTAATTTCCACGTTCTAGGCCAGTAAAAGGCTTTGTCTCAGAAAAAGAAGAAGAAAAAGAAAAAAGAAAAGCAAATGTTAGGAGAAGGGTCGCTTGTTTGTTCCCAGCTGCTCAGCCCCGAAATAATCACACAGAAACTATATTAATTAAATCACTGCTTGACCCATTAGCTCTAGTTTCTTATTGGCTAACTCTTACATATTAACTTAACCCATTTCTAGTAATATGTGTATCACCACGTGACTGTGGCATACCGGCAATCAGCATGTCTATATCTCCAGCGGCAACTCCATGGCTTCTCTGTCTAACTCCGCCTTCCTCCTCCCATGCTATAGGCCAAGCCAGTTCTTTATTCAATAACCAATAAAAGCAACATATAGACAGAAGGACCTCCCACACCAAGCAAAGAAAATATGAATGGCACCCGAGGAATGATAGCCAAGGTCTTCTGGATTTCACGTGCATACATAATCACACACACATACATATAATCACACACACATACATGTACAAGTAAAGACTGCTGTGTTTTACATGCATCAGTTCCTAGGAAATGAAGTGATAGTAGTGTTTGTGACAGAGTACGTTCTTGTCCCATGAGGCTTAGTGCCTGACAGGTGTGAGCCCTAAGGAGTGCTGAGCCTCCCAGATCAGCCTGTGATTGTGACATAAAGTCACCTGGGTCCCACCAGGGGAGGATGTTTGAGGCACTGATCATTTCATGTCTTGATAGCTTTAGTGATGTAGTAACCACACCCCCACTTCCCTTGCTTTGAACTTTGATTTCCGGAGGTCACTTGCTGTGGAGGCTGAGTCATGTCTGTGTGTCTCATTCCCCAACTCTGGGCAGACTTACTCATCCTGACCACCTTCTGTGTTTCAGAGAGGTGGGCCCACCCTGCTACCTAGCACACAATGAAGATGCCCCAGCTGTCGGTTTGAGAAATGCCTGGACTAGCTTTTCTTTCTTCAGGTGACCATCTCCACACTTACCTAACGCTAGGGGGTGGAGTCAAGGGTGCCAGCACAGGATGTCTGGGTTGGGATGCCATGGGCATCCTTTCCAAAGAGCTTCTGAACACACTGGGTCCAGCCATGGCATTTCTGCAATGTCAAAACAGAGTGGTTAGACGACTTAGCTATGCAGGAGTCAGGCTTCCCAGTTCACCAGACACCCTTGTACAATAGGCCCTCTGTGTGGTAATGTCACAGCAGCAATAAAACCTAACTCTGTTCTTTCTGGCTTAGAAGGACCGACCAATGGCTGGCCAAAGTGACGGGGGAGGATGAGGACTTAAACCTTCTCCTGTTGGTCTTTGTGGTTCTGGACCCCTAAAATCTGCTGGCCTTCAAAAGACAGTGTGATCCAGGCTGAGGTCATGAACCAGACGTGGAGCTGTGTCATGCAGTCCCCCCCCCCCCCCCCCCGACTTCAAGACCAGCTATTCATTCCTCCCAACCAACCAAAACAAACAGAAATACACAAAACCACAGACAGGAAATAGTGTGATAAAAAGTCTTGACTAAAGAGAGGAGGCTGTGACCATCTGTAGAAGTAGCCACTTTCTGGACAGACGTGCAGCTATGCCTTGTTCCTTGATGAGGGGATGGGTGCTGCCTGGACTTGATCGGAGCAGGACTTAGGAAGCAGTAACGGAAACACAAGGCTTTTTTCCTTCTTTGTTGAAAAGGCAAAATAGTTAGCAAACTGGGTCTCAGACCTCTCTCTCTCTCTCTCTCTCTCTCGGTTTTTTGAGACATGGTTTCTCTGTGTAATAGCCCTAGCTGTTCTGGAACTCACTTTGTAGATCAGGATGGCCTCAAGCTCATGGAGATCCACCTGTCTCTGCCTCCTGAGTGCTGGGATTAAAGGCGTGTGCCACCACCGCCGCGCCGCTGAATCTCAGATCTTTCAAAGATGTTCAGGGAGGAAAATCGAGTTGGGTGTCTTCTCTACGGATTGTAACTGTACAAAACCAGAGGCAATCTGGTACCTTTCCCCACACCGAGGCTCCTGAGGCTTTGAGAGAGGTGCTGCAGCATGGTATGATGGTTAATGGTGATCGGCAGGATCTAGAATCATCTAGGAGACCTCTGGCCTTTCTATGAGGGAGTTTCCAGATTAGATTGAGGTAAAAGAGCCACCCAAACTGGAGGTGGCATCATTCCATGGGATGGAGTCCTAGACTCAACCAAAGCCAGGAAGTTATCTCAAAACCAGAACATATCTTTCTCTTCTTCCTGTGTGCGGATACAATATGACCAGTCATCTCAAGCTCCTGCTAGCAAACATTCTTCCTGTATGTAGATACAATGTGAGCAGCCACCTCAAGCTCCTGCCAGCAAACTTCCCTGCCACGATTGAGTTGTTCTCTAGATCTCTATGCCAAATAAGCCCTGCCTCTGGTGAGCTGTTACTTGTCCAGTGTTTGACAAGCAATGAAAACCATAACTGATACAGATGGAAACTGTATCAGTTCCATGTGACAGGCTTTTCTCTGTCACATGCTGGTCGGGTGAACTTGTGGATGAGACTGAAGGGTTGAGCAGGAGCCTTTGTCTCTGAAACTGGGGTAGCAAGGCTTTTTTTAGGGGGCTCTGGTGAGAGATAAACAGGACAAAGTGTGATAAGGCGACACCAAGTAAGCAGGTGGCATAATTACATTTTAAGTATTTCACACATAGAGAAGGCACAGAGAGAACAATACAGCGCATTCACACCCCAGCTTAATTAAGAAAACATGACTTGGTCCCTACATTCCTCACTCTGCCCCTTCCTTCTCATGGGTAGACACAGTTCAATATTGGCACATGGGTTCCCATGGTTCGCTTCCTAATCTATGGAAAGCAATGTATACCATATTGTTAGAATGGTTTAAAACATGACAGCATGCTCTATACACTCTTATATAACTTCATTTTCTGCTTCAAGATTCTGTTTGTATTGGGCATGGTGGCACATGCCTGTGAGCCCAGCAATAGGGTGATGGAGGCAGGAGGCTCAGGAGTTCAAGGTCAGGCTGGGCTACAGGAAACCCTGTCTGGGAAAAAAAAAACCCAACCAAAACCAGCAAATCAAAAGAAAGTAAAATCTCTGTGTGAAGCTTATTCTTGCTGATCTCTGCAACTCCAATTCATTTTACTGTATTTTATTTTCAAAGTTTATTTTATGTATGGTGTGAGTGTTTTGCCTACGTGTATGTCTATATATACCACACACATGCAGTGTGCCTGTGGAGGCCAGAAGAGGGGGTCAGATCCTCTGGAACTAGAGTTACAGGTGGTTGTGAGCTACTGTGTGGGTTCTGGGAACCAAACCTGGGTCCTCTGCAAGAGCAAGTGCTCTTGACCACTGAGCCATATCTCCAGCCCCTTGCTTTATTTTTATAACTTATTTGCTTATTGTTGATGGTGAATATATAGGTCGTTTCAAATTTTTTTCCAAGGTAAGTGATGTGATCACAGATGTTTTGTGTGCCTTGGCTTCCCCAATTTGTAAAATAATATAAAAAGTCTGTGATACACCTGTAGCCTTTACCAGCACATTTTAAGAGCATTTTCCAGTTCATAAAATGCTTTTAAGTTTATTATTGCTACCACCGCAGAGGGAAACCAGACTGTTTCTGAGGTTTTCTCCCCTCAAGCCTCAATTCATTACAGAACTTTACGCTGCGAAACCTCAAAGACTTTCTCGCCAATAAGAAATGGCGTCCTCGCTGCTGAAGTAGCTTTTGCAGAAGTGCAGAGCCACGTATTCTGCATCCTTATCTTTCAAATAAGGTTTCAGATTCCAGAACAACAACACACGAATCCAATTTCCAGTTTTCCACCCAGAGACAAAGAATGGTTCTCAGTGATAACCTTGGCATTTTCTGTCCCGTCAACGTGGCATTTGAGTGAGTGGCTCTGTAATCAAGATTTCCATGGCTGAAGGAAAACTTCTCCAGAAGTGAGCACTCTCATACCGCTGCAGATTTCGTGGCAATTCTTTCCATATACTGTTTACATAGCAGGGGCTGCAGCTAGTCTAGTTTCGTGCTCTGCTTTTCCCACTTAACATTCTAAAGCCCTCTTTCTCCCTCTGTGGAATTTCAGTGGCCAAAACTTACCCAAAAAGGAAGTCTGTGCCTCCAAGGACAATCATTCTCAGAAATGAAGAAGAAACAATAGCAAAACTCACCCCTTCCACCCCAAGGTTATTGGAAGAATGCCTCTTTAGCGGCTTCGTCTGGTCCTGGTAACTCCTTATTATTGCACCAGTGAACTTTGTGTTTTGGTGTCAATAAAGGTAATGGCTGGAGTTAAAAAGTGTGCAAAAGGGCTCTGGAGGGAGGGCTCAGTACTTAAGATGTCATCTCCCAGAGGATTCAGGTTCTGTTCCCAGAGCTGTCTGTCATCCCACCTCCAGAGGACATACATTCTCTTCTGGCCTCCAAAAGTATTCTCTCTCTCTCTCTCTCTCTCTCTCTCTCTCTCTCTCTCACACACACACACACACACACACACACACACACACACACAAGCATATATGCATGCAGGCACACAGGCATGCACACACACGATGCTCATAAGTAAAATATAACAATTAAAAATGTATAAATGGTGTACTCACAAATACACATGTATGTAAATATAAATGGGTATATGTGGCTATGTTCTTACACACACACACACACACACACACACACACACACACACACACACACAGACCTGTCTCTTTGAGGACAGCATCAACAAGACAAAAACTACCTCGTTACTATTATACTATATAGAAGAGGCAGCTTGACTTTACTCTGACCCTATGCTATGCTTTAGTCTCTGGCTTCTCCCAAAGGCAAGGGGGCGAAGTGATTACTCACATCAGCCTGTAGCCCAAGTTCGTTTGTCGTTGGAGCTAATTATCCATTCCAGATGTTTCCCATCAGTGTAACAAGACAACCTGTGACAATCGCCCATTCTGTTTAGGATGAGGCTAATTAGGATGAATTAAACAGACATGAGCTTACAATACAACTAATTACAAGTAATTAAGGTAGACGAGCTTTGTGGCATTCAGAGACTAACCTCCTCAGAAACCTGGATCTAGCTGCCTCAGACTCAGCGAATGTGTTCATAATATAAGTCGGGATTGAGCCAAAAAAAAATCTGCCGTGAACATTCCTTTTAATGATCTATCATCAGCTTTTAAACTACATCATGGAAAGTTGCTTAGTATTTTAATTCACAGAGTATGTAAGGGGATGAATTTCCCCAGGCAAGGCAGAACCAATCACGGAATCAATTAACTTTGAAGTTACAGAGTAGATTATATTTTGGAAACGTTAAAACGCTTTTGAACTCATATGAATAAGAGAGAAAGCTATTCTCTATTTGACCCAAATTCATCAAAGTCTCTTTCTAGTTCCAGAAGTATAAACATTTCACCTCTGTAGCCACGAAAGGGACAGACAGGCAGATGATAGTACATCCATCTCTTGGTAGGCTGGCCCAGGAGAGAAACATCATTTTCCTTGTCCCTGTCCTCAGAGCAGCCCATCTCTGGGTGGCATCTTCGAGAAGTGGTGGTGAGTATGGCCACTGCTTCTTTCTTTTGTAAAATTTCATATCATTATTACTATCGTTGTTGTTATTTTGCTTTTTGAGATAAAAATCTCTCTGTATAACCCTGGCTATCCTGGAACTTGCTATGTAGACCAGGATGGTCTTGAAATCACAGAGATCTGCCTACCTCTGCCTCTGGAGTGCCGGGATTAAAGTCACGTGCCACTCCCCATGGCCATCTCATTACTACTTTCTGATCCGGAGTGATTAGAATTGACTGAGAACTAACGCCAGGAGCTCTTCTATCTGGGTGTCTGGCCTTCTGGAGGTTAGTCTGTCAAGTGATTGGTGGACCCATCAAAAGGAATTGAGTTTGTGCCACAGAGACTGTTAAAAGGCCAGGCATGGTGGTACGTACCTGCTTTCTTCTTCTCCTTCTCCTTCTCCTCCTCCTCCTCCCCCTTTTCCTTCTCTTTCTTCCTTTCTTTTTCTTTTTTTTTTGTTTTTCGAGACAGGGTTTCTTTGTAGCTTTAGAGCCTGTCCTGGAACTAGCTCTTGTAAACCAGGCTGGCCTCGAACTCACAGAGATCCGCCTGCCTCTGCCTCCTGAGTGCTGGAATTAAAGGCGTGCGCCACCACCACTGCCCAGCCGTACCTGCTGGGGAGGTAGGGATAGGCAGATACTCCAGGTTCAAAGGCCATCCATCCAAGCTTACTGGACAAATTCCAGGGCAGTGAGCCATTCTGTCTCAAAACAAAATGTGCACAAGGAACATCTGAGGTTGACTTCAGTCCTTCAGAAGCACGCATACACACACATGTATATATGTGTACACATATGAACACACACACACGCACATACACACACTCACCAGTTTGTTGTTGCAAGAGGCAATGAGCGCCCAGAGAAGTGGCTGTGAAAATGGAGACGAGGAGATGGATGCAGTATGGTTGTAAAACAGGATTTGGCAGGCGGTGGGTGTGAGTTGTATTGAACACATCCTCTTACACGGGACTTCCCAGCCCGCTGGCCTCCTCTGGCATTGCAGCCAGAGCATTGGCAGCCGGCTCATCTCACTCAGGCTTCGTACAGCCGTTTGCAGTCTTCACCTGACAGCACCCTTAGGCTAGGATGGTGAACTTCTCACTTCCTGCCTGGAGTTTCTGTGCCTGTGAGGTTCTGTTTGGCACTGGTGAGTTAATGCCCCACTGGGCAGCTCTTGACCCATTGAGCGAAGCCAACAGATAATTGCTTCTTTCCCTTCTCTGGGGGAGTCCCGAGGAAAATGTGATGATGGATGTGGTTGGTGGAGTTCTCGGTGGCCAACTCTGCCGTCTCTTGCTCTTGCTCTTGGGATTCCATTGATAAGCCCGCTACTTCACAGTGGTGATCGGGCTCTACTTTGTGGGTAAACCAGGCGAAGGCCCATTTTCCTGTGCTTATAACAGAGCATCTGAGACCGGGTCCAGATATCTTTCAGTGCCTCGTGGAGAATGCTGGCAGGGCCTCCCTTGGTTTTATGGATTTAGTATAAAACCCACCTCATGTTTGAACACTTGCTTCCCAGATGGTGGCGCAGTTATGGAAGGTGGAGGAAACCTTACGGGGTGGGGCTTCACCGGAGAAAGCAGGATTTCTGAAGGATAGCCCGCAAGGCTGTAGAGCTAGACACCAGTTCTATGCTCTCTGGCTGGTGCTAGCATCCTGCGGCGGTGGAACCAAGGGGCTTTTTGCTGCCGTTGCTTTCCAGCCACAATGGAGGATGACCTCTCAAGCCTAGAACCAAATAAATTCTCCTTCTTTACGTTGCTTCTTATCAGGCATCTGGTCTCACTGTTGAGGAAGTATCTAAGACCCTTAGATACCACAGTCCGTGGATGCTTAAGTATTTTAGATTAAATGGCACATTTAATGTACCCTATACATATCCTCTGTTTTATGTCACTCTCAATTGCCTGTACTATAATGTGAATGCTATGTAAAGAACTGTTAGATAATACTATTTAAGGCAAGATGGCAGGGCTAAAAGTATGTGCTGTTCAGGGCAGAAGCAATCCACTTCTCCTAAATGTTTTCAATCTAAATTTGATTGAATCTACCCAAGTATGTGGGCGCTTCCCCATGACTATAATTTACTTATTTTTTAAAATTTTTTTCATAATTACCTTTGTATGTGTGTGTCTCTGTGTGGGTTTGTGTGTGTGTGTGTGTGTGTGTGTGTGTGTGTGTGTGTGAGGGCAGTGTTGGCCAAGATCAGAGGTATTGGATCTCCTGGATCTAGAGTTACAAATGGTTGTGAGCCAACTGACATGGGCGCTGGAAAATAAACTCGGGCCTCTGCAAAAGCAATATACACTCTTAACCACAGCGCCATCTCTCCAGCCTTCCTATTTCCTCCTCCTCTAGAGGTAAAAGGGGTTTATTTTGTCTTTTTAAAATTTATTTTCACTGCCTGGCACTGAACCCAGGATTTTTGCTTGCTAGGCAAGTGCTTGCCTCTGAGATAAGCCAACCTTAAGAGGTTTATTTTGGCTGTGGTCCTGAAACTCTGAGACAATGACCCTTGTACCTCTGTGGCTTCTGATGAGGGGCTCCCATGGCTCTGTGCGTGTCAGGAGAGCAAAAGAGACGGCGGATGAAGTTAGAAGGAGCGCTATGTTAAAGATAAGACACCGCCTGCTCCAAAATGACCAGAGCTCTCCAGAATGAATTAATTCCCCAAGGAACCCATCCAGTTTTGAAAGAAGGTCACAAATCTGTCTTAAAAGGCCCCGCATCACAATCCAACAACATTGGGACATTAAGAACCAGGGTGATCTTTGACGAGACCAGCCATATCCAAACCACAGTAGACTTGTGAGACTTGGGTGTGTTGGAGGCTGGGCTGGAAGTGTTACCCATAAAGAGGAATAGAAAATCTTGGGTGAGGGGGCATCTGATTCATTCAGATTGAACCCTGGGTTATTGAAAACACAGCAGATCAGAGGGACCAGTCGCCAGCGTGTTCCTGAGATTAGAACCTGGGCTTTTCAGTTCCTATTTTCAGTTTCTGAGCGTTGCAAGGATGGTTTCTCAGTCGCTTGTATTTCTCTTGGGAGAGCGGGCTATATTAATTGTCTACCGCTGCATAACAAATTAGTCCACAGCTTAAAAGCTGGAAATAACAAGCATCTATGCCACGAGTCTCTGAGAACTGGGAATTCAGAAGTGGTTTCCAGGGGTGGATCTCACCCTTGCCTTGACTCCTGGGCATGGTGACTTTTTATGTAAGAGGAACCCAGAAACATTTCCTATCCCTCTCTGACTTACTATTCTTCTTTCAAAAATTTTTGTCATATTTTTATCTATTTACTGTGTACATATGTGTGTGTGTGTGGGGGGGAGTGGGCGCACATGCATCCCAGCGTGTTCCTGTGGAAGTCAGAGGGCTGTGTACACACACGTGTATGTATGTGTGTGTGTGTGTGTGTGGGGGAGTGGTTGCACATGCATCCTAGCGTGTTCCTGTGGAAGTCAGCGGGCTGTGTACACATGTGTGTGTAAGTGGGTACACACGCATCCCAGCGTGTTCCTGTGGAGGTCAGAGGACAGCACGGGGAGTCAGTTCTCTCCTGCCACCGTGTGGGTCCCAAGGGCTGTCATCAGTCTTGGCAGCCAGCAAATACCCTTTCCCACCAAGCCATCTTGTTGCTCCTACCTTCTTACTTTTAATCTCTGTCAGCTAGATCTTCCCATTAATTTTACAAAGTTAATAATTACATTTTGTTCTGTGGATTATACTTGGATTGTACTCTGGATTATATTCATTCTTTTTTATGTAGGTTAACTCTATGACTTTGAAGCTGTAAAACATATATGTAGTTACATACAATAAATTGTCTAGTCTAGAATCAAGGTGTTGACCCAATAATAAAAGCATTCGAAAAGAAAACCTTGACCTGTTAGATGGTCCAGTGGGTACTCACTGCCACGCCTGGGGAACCGGAACTACATTTCTGAGCTCCACATGGTGGAAGGAGAGAATCCATCCACTGACTGTACTGTGCAGGGCATGCCCACACGCATACGACAGAGGTAATGAAGTAAATTAAAAAAAAAAAAGTCCCACTGGGTGGTAGTGGCACACACCTTTAATCCCAGCACTTGGGAGGCTGAGGCAGGCAGATCTCTGTGAGTTCAAGGCCAGCTTGGTCTACAGAGCAAGTTCTAGGACAGCCAAGGCTACACAGAGAAGCCCTGTCCCAAAAACTCAAATGGGCAATTGGTATCTCTTTCCTTTTCCCCTCTAAAGGAGAGATCACTCAAAGCCTGTCATGCTTTAGTTGGTCACTTCCTTGTATAGTAGCTCAGTTTTATCTGGTACTGTGGACTGTCTTTCTTTTTCTGTGTTATATATAAGAAAGATGGAATGCCTTCATTTTGTCTCTACGAATGTTCTAGTTCTCTTTCTCTCTCTTTTACTTTGGTTTCTCAAGACAGGGTTTCTCTGTGTAGCCCTGGCTGTCCTGGAACTGGGTCTATAAACCAGGCTAACCTTGAAGCCAGAGATCCACCCACCTCCCGAGTGTTGAGATTAAAAGCCTGCGTCAGCAACACCCAGCTTCAAGTATATTCTTACAAGAACAGATTGACTTTTATTCCTGCACTGGGATTCTGTGATCTGGCCACTCCCTTTTCAGAGAGCGTGTGTGTGTGTGTGTGTGTGTGTGTGTGTGTGTTTGTGTGGTGTGGTGTGCCTGAGTGTACACAACCACTGGTACCTGTCGTGGAAACCCATGAGCATTAAAACAAAGCCTGTTCTTTTCCCCAGGACGTCAGTGTCTCTTAGAGTTTGTTATTGGCTCATTTTGCTCTCTCATCTCCATCTTTTCAGTCTGTTCTGTTTCCAGCTCCGGCACACCCAGAGACCACTCTCCCTGGCCTCATCTTTTCTGCACCCAGACAGCAGCTTTTCAGCTCTCTGGCAGGGTGGTGATGTAGCCAGCTCTCGGTATTCTCCAGGGAAGGAATGACCGAATGGCACAGCTCTGAACTCTGAACTTTATGAAGAAGACTCTTGACCATCTGTACAATGGGGATATGTTAGCTGAGGTATTTTTTTAGGGGTCGGGGGTCTGTGTCCATGATGAAATAAAGCTTAGTTTCTATTTTATGATAAATAGCAATTTACTGGGCATTTGCCTATATGCCGTAGAGATGACCTAGTCTTTTCCCTTTCTCTTGAACAACCCAGAAAGGTAGTTAACTACTTGTCCTCTCATACAGGAAGATCATCAGCACATTAGGATAATTCTTCTAAAGTCACTTAGCAAATTCGAGGTACTTATCAGAACCTAGCATTTTTTGGGGGGGGGGCATGGAGGGTGTTTCCAAGGCATTCGGAAGGGTTTTCTTTGTGGCTTGATGATAGACAAATAAATACTGTAATATCTCAAAGAGCATCAGTTCTTAAACATTGTTTTCTCAGTTATGCAAAAAGAGCGTTTCAAAAGCAGCATTTGGTACACTCTGCGCACCATCCTTCAGTCCAACACTATTTTAAGAGACCGAGACCTGTTGTTTATTGGGAGAAAAGCTGGTGCAGAATTTTGGAAGGACTCTGTTGAAAACAGGGATTTGTGACTTGTAGACAGAGGAAGGTGTCTTTTCTTTTTTTAAATAAATGAGATTGAAGTTCGACGATCTCAAGGGAAAGAAATCGCTACTTGACTAGTAGGGTGAAGCGTCACGTTTCACTTACTGTAAAACTCAAATGATTTGGGTAGCAAAAGATGTTTTTTAAGTTCTGCAAGAGAGGGAGTGGGGTTGGAACGCAAGAGTGCTTATGGAGCATGCGCAAAGCCCTGGGTTTCATCCTCATCACCTCGGTGCAATCTAAACACTTGAACACTTTGGAGGCGAAGGCAGGAGGCTTAGAAATTCAGGGCCAGTCTTGGAAGATATTCCACAGTACCCGAGACCTTACCTCATAAAGAAATAAGTAAACTTGCTTATGAGTTAATTATTTACAGCGTGGGGGGAGGGGAAGGGGACAGAGGCCAAAGAGTTCTAGGAATCATGAAATGCGGGTCCTGTGTATGGGAGAAATGAGGAACGTGCTTATTAGCTGGTATTTTAAACAGACACCCAGCATTATGCAAAAATCAAAGCAAAACAAACAAAAAACCCAAGCAAAAATGGAGTGCAGAAATAAGGGGATAAAT